TTAATACCTTCATCAGTGAAGGAGCTGGATGTTACGGAGGGGAGAGCATTATACTTTCAAACAAGGTGATGAAGATGGCCATCATGGCAATTGCTCAGCAACAGGACTCCCCCATGAGGAATAGCTGATGTGATCAGCAAGTTTGCAATCGGTGCAATATAAAAAATGGAGCCTTTCAGAACTTTTTCCATTTTCATTACATTGAGGTTAATGGAATCATAAGCACCAGATTCTTTAGTAAAAAGAGGTAAATTTTCAGAGGATGGTTAAATTCTTTGAGGTAAGGGACCGTTCATAATTTATGGCCAGGGGGGTGATGATGATTTTTATGGAGAAGCATGTACAATGTGAATGACCCCCCCTAAAATTTATGTACAAAGTAAGTGACCCCCCCTGCATGTCATGTACAAAATCAATGACCCCCTCCCCCTTCCAATATTTTTTAAGCTTAATTTTTAAATATTTTTATGTACAAAACTGATGACCCCCTAGAAACGTGTACAAAATTGATGACCCCCTAATTGATGAATTCTTTCTCCCACCAGCCATAAATTATGAACGGTCCCTAATTGGTGTTGTATTTGAATCACAGACCCTTAACTGTTAACATAGAACCTTGCTTACAGTCCAATTTTCAACACTGAGGAGGTCTAGCAATATGACATTACCACATTTTGAGTGAACTGGGTTTAAACTACTGAGTAGGTGAGTGAGTTTTGTCTTATGTCGTTTCCCGCAATATCATGGTCTGGGACACCTGAAATTTGGCTTCGCACATTGTACCCATGTGAGGAATTGAAGCTGTCTTGGGCGTGACGATCGAACGCTTTAACCACTAGGCTACCCCACCACCCCGGGTTTAAACTAAGGCTGCACAAAGCCACAGTGTGGTGAATATGATATAAATCACGAATATTGTGTTATGAATACAAATATTGGGTAAAGAATACAATAACAACTCAGCAGTTGATGTATTGTTCAACCTACTTAGTGGAACAATTACAAAATAATTAATTGGCATATTTTTACCATATTGACCGTGTTACTTTATCATGAAAATGACAAATGACCACATTACCTTCAAATTTGATATATAAGACTGTTGACTTATGCTGCCTGTCTTGCAAATTGTCAACATTTTATCTACCTTGCTTTCATAAATAGCTCCTAAATTCAAGTAAAAACACTTCACTTAAAATAATTCATGAATATTCGATGCAATCACAAGCAATGAATTGAATTTATGAAGGGAGTGAGTGAGATTGGTTTTATCCTGCTTTTAGCAATATTCCATCAATATCACAGCAGGGGGACACGAGAAATGGGCTTCGCACATTGTATCCCGGTCTTCGGCGTGACAAGCAAATGCTTTAACCACTAGTTTAACCAAGAGTTTGAGTGAGTGAGTTAATTTTACACTGCACTCAGCAATATTCCATCGATATGGTGGCGGTCTGTAAGCAAATGAGTCTGGACCAGACATTCCAGTGATTAACAGCATGAGCATCGATTTACGCAACTGGTATATGACGACATGTGTCAACCAAGCCAGCAAGCCTGACCACCAGATCCCGTTAGTCGCCTCTTACGTCCAGCATGGGTTGCTGAAGATCAATTCTATCTTCACAGGGCCACAATGATAAGTGTTTGGCACGCTTAGACCACTCCAAAACTCGGTTTTAAAAGCATACTTAATGCGCTCTATCATGATGCATATTCTATTGACTGAACGTACTGCATCTCACGTCATCGTCTCTAACACAGACATCTCCATGAGATACTCTACAAATAGCTAGTTCCAACTATAGTCTGTTTGCAGTGAAAACGTACCCATGCATTTCACTTTAAACAAAAAAGTAAATCAAATAAAGTGAAATTAAGATTGCGAATTCTCATAATTTTACCTTGCCAATTGAACATTTGAATCTCAGAATTTTATTCATCTTAGGATAAAACTTGTTTAACAAACGATCATAGATTCAAATCACTATTATTGGTTTGTATTACAAGGGGGTAAGCGCAGTAGTTGGAACACTGAAACAAAATGCACATGCGGTACGTGATGAGCGTTAACTTAGACCAACCCTGCTTGTTCTAGGTGTTTCATTTAATGTGTGAACACCCTTGTAATACAAACCAATAATAGTGATTTGAATCTATGATCGTTTGTTAAACAACTTTTATCCTAAGTTTAATAAAATTCTGATATTTAAATGTTCAGTTGGCAAGGCAAAATTATGAGGATTCGCAATCTTAATTTCACTTTATTCGATTTACTTTCTTGTATAAAGTGAAATTCATCAGTACGTTTTCACTGCAAACAGACTATAGGTCTGTTAGTTTGAGATCAATTGTTTGAGAAAATGCCGTAATTGGACTAAATAACCCTTGGCTGGTGTCAAATTGAATGACATCAATTTGCTGGCTGTCAAATATCGGTTGCCATGTTGCTTGAAGCTAGAGAATACCTTGCAATAATCAAGTTACGTGGATTTAGTTATCAACTAATCACTAATAATCATGCTATATGGAGTTCTCATGAAAATGACTCACAGTTCCCGATATTTCCATGTCCATACAATATTACATAAACCATTTATAGTGAATAGTCTTTGACCGTCATTATATCCCACAGCGTTCTTTAATTGGAACATGCTTGTAGAGTGGCATGGCAACCGAAAACACAAGAAGAGTTCTCTCTGGGAGAAATAGCAGATGATGTTTTTAATGTATTGCCAGCTGATAGCCTTTCTGTGATCACCATCCATCAGTTACATAGAATGGTCATAAAATACCACTATCAAAAGAGTTATTGTGCCATTATGGTACGGTAGCCTATGATATGAGGCGTTAATCGCATAGTTCTCTTGATATCACATCATCAATCATGTCAAATAAATTTGCTTCATTTTTTTTATCTTCTACGATGATATGTACATAAAGGGCAGAGGTGGCTTAATAAACAAATACTACAAACTGAAATATCATTAACTGACAATGCATTACCATCTGATCATATTTGTTTATATTTATCAAGTTAATAAATACACGTATTGGCATGGATGCTTGTCATGTTTTTAATATATGTGTTTCTATTATGAGATTTTCATAAATCAATATTACTCATTTATGAATGTGTTTTTATTCTTGTCTCTAACATTGTCAGTGTATTACAGAGTCGGAGTGTGAGCCTTCAGAATCAGCCTGGTCACATACCCGGTATATAGAGAATCTCACCCTCGTGTCTTTTGATATCAAATATATCACCACGAGTTGATAAAGGTACAATGTTTTTACTTTTATCAAAGAGTTTTGATATATTTCAAAGTATATATCAAAAGACACGAGGGTGAGAAATCATAAAAAATCACTCTTCATTAGTTTTCAATGAAAAATGTACATCTCTTAACACTGAATTGCCATTAGATTTGCAGTGCAGCGATGTCATAGCATTGTGACGTCATCAAGTTCATGATGTCATAGCATTGTTAAGGTATTGTACAAAATCTACTGTCAAAATGATATCTCCTAGGAGATATCGTCTGATCTCACAGAAGCGATATGTCCTGTGGAACACAATTTTGGATGATATATTGTAGGTGTGATTGAGGTTGGGTACTACAGATTGTATAATGGGTAATATAACATGTAGAAACTAAATCAATTTGGAATTGTATGGTAAAGATGAGCCAGAACGAATCTCTACAATGCACAAAACTGTTTTTCACTTCAGGGGTGGAAAGTAACCCATTGCTCGACGCCTGAGTCCAGTGGTTTTTTCTGTCGGGCAAGCAAATTTGTATATCACACTGTACCGGTGTCCAGTTGATATTCCAATGTTAATTATGTTGTTTATTTAAAAATCAACAAGAAAACGCCGGTATAGTGGAAAAATTATCAGGGCAAGTGATTTTACATGTGCCACTGTACCGGAGTACACTAGCAATTTTAAAGTTATTTCCACCCCTGCACTTTACAGATTTTCTTGTGAATGTTACACATAAAAATGATCTCTTAAATCAGAATACACTGCTGGCCCGATGCTGGAAATGTATGGCAATGGAACCAGGACAAATCCACTCCATAATGCACAAACCTGTTTTCTTTCATATCACTTTTACATATTTTCTTGTGAACATTACAGAAAAAGCAACTATCATCGAAAATTTGAAAATTTTAGCAGTGTTCGAACAGAATTCATTCACTCATGCTCAATTTTGTGATTATCTCTATGGTCTAAGCTATATATACACAGACTTTCACCCACAACTGATTCTTCCTTCGTTATTAATTCGTTATTAATTAACAAAATGACATACTTACATCATGTAAATTATATAATTATGCTTCACCATATAAGTCATCATCACACCCCTTAGCCATAAATAATGAATGGTCCCTTATGGCCACAGTATGTAGGAAATAGTATCTGCATGGCCTAATATATTGCAATGCATATAGCCATAGGGATACCTGAATCAGAAAATATTCCAATACAGATTATTTGACAGCCCTAGTTTACGTGTTACCCTACCAAGTTTTCTGTCTTCACCATGTTCAAGATAAGTCCTGTCTGTTCATTAGTCAAAAAAGATATTGGTTCTGCATTAATGTGATACAGCACTGTAATTTCGTAACGTCATGATGTTGTTTTATGTTGTTTAACAATATGCCAGAAACAATTCCTTACATTGACTCTTTTTGAAACGGACATTTTCAACATTGACGCAAATATTGAGCCCAATGGCTAAATCGGCAATGAGATATAATGTAAATATAATACTCAATATTTTACTGATTCTATATCTAGCTTTAACACGGAAAGATTCATGTCAACAGTCTTGTGACGAGTCACACAACAGGAAACATAGACATATGCTTACAAACTGCAACCAAGATAAACTCTCCAATGGACCTCATACACTGCAGTGACAGAATAAAATGCTCAAGTACGTTATATCTGGAATGATATAATGGTATTATCAAGAAATACATCTTACCAAACAGGTCCACAATGTCTCTTACTCATCTTGCGATCTTGATGACAATACAATCAATACTTTCAAAGTGGCTCAGTAAAAATCTAATTAGGTCGGGCTGACCTCTCCATCGTTTAAGGAAATCCCAATTTCTACTTCAGCTGAAAAAACGCCATGTTCTTCATCCATGGTATCCAAAAAGATCAACTCTGGCTTCAGTTGATGTTAAAGCACTTGGAGTTATTGAGTTAGGCACATGAACGTTAGGTAGCGTAAGGCATCTGCGGAACATGGATGAGGCAACAAAGCAGGCTGAATCGGCTTCAGTGCAGTTTCAAGACAACATGGTGTTGTTATGACAGTGCTGTAGAAAATCCCTCGTGATTCCAGCTTGGTAACAGCGCAGGACGATGAAATAATGAGGCTGGCGACGTGATGCCACGATCACATGTCCACCGGAACAACACACATGCACTTACTGCACCTGGAACGACGGCTATTGTCTGCCATCATGCTAATGCACCTCCATCTTTATGAAGCATGGGAATAAAACAGTTCCGTCAGAAGGGTCTGAAGAGGTCATATCAATCACACAAAACCATCACTCCATAACCTCTATGATTCACGGTTCAGGCCATCAACACGGGAACTAGCACACAAGTCCTCGACCCTACATTCAGTGTAGATGAATCATTAATAGCAGACGGAACACAAATGCTGCCTAATAATTTTGTTTCAAGGGAACTCTGGAGTAGATGAAATTGATTATTTCTGTGAGGCGAGCTCAGTTGGCTGTTTGAGTGAGATGATGACAAACTACAGCACCGTTCAATGAAGGGATTCAGGGATTCGCAGGCTCATCAGCAAAACAAGCTATGGTCTGCCGCTAAGATACCAGCTGAGTGACTGACGCGAGGCTAAGATCCCAAACTCTTCACCTTAAACATAGATACCAGTCTTCCTTCAGCCCATTTCATACTGCTAGACAGCCTCAGCCATTGTGATATTTATACAGAGTAACATGAAAATGGCTTTCAGCTATATTCAATGCTGAATAGCTTCTATCACCCTGTCTCATCAAATTACCTCCCTGTCAAATCATCCGGTATTGGGAATTCCATCCACATCAATAACAAAATTACCCTGTGTTTCATTGTACAAACATTTTGAGGGAATACCAAAAGTTTAATCCCTCCTTTGAATTCGTAGGTCAATATTCAAAGCTAATTCGAAAATAGCACAAATTTCCCATACTAAAATACATTTTTCAGTTTGACCAAATATAGGCATCAGGTACTCAATAAATGCGGAAAAATCTTCTATAGCCCCAGAAACTCCTTTCTCATAATTAAACTATGTGTGTCTGAATATAATCCTTGAAAACAAATAACAGGATCCAGGCTCCATGCTGGTCTAAGCCAGTTCCCCAGAACTTCACTTACAAGACATAAATCAATTATTGGTGGGGGAGGGGGGACGTTTCGTTAATGACACTACAGACAGGGGGGAATCAATACACGGGGGAGAGGAGTTATCAGGACCGACAGCTGGGTGAAGATCAATCACACAGAGAGGAGTCTCATCATACACTCTGTTGTCATCAGCCAACTTCAGTGAGAGGGAGGAGGTATCGTGCTATAGTCACCAAAAACTTGGGCCTTCCTTTTTTATTTGTTGGCTTACGAGAAAAAATAAACACGAACCAATCTCCGTATATTTTTTAGTTTTTTAATGACACTGAGAGAAATTAGAGAATTGGGGTCTGAAGAATCAGGGAAAAACTGTACTATTTTCTTTTAGACATGTTAGACATTTTGTGAAATGAGAAAATGTAGTTTTCTTAAAACAGAATGAAGCCATATTGTGCAAACAAATGCAGGTCACTGAGAACACACCATGTGTCTCAATCCATCAAATATGAAAAGGTCATTGTGTTTTTACAAGTGTGATTATCAGGCTTGGCATTTATCATGTTAATCACATCAAAAACTAAGAAAGGGATTATTCATTTTTGTCACAATCATGACTTTTTTTTAGATGTAAGGATCCATATAAATATTATGATTTAAAAAGGTTCCTGCTGTATCACTGTAGTGAAGCAGACGCACATGTAATGGGAGCACTGAAAAGGGAGTCACTTACTGGTTTTCACAGCTTTCAGCAATAACAATGTTCGCGGAAGAAAAATAAACTTTGCGTTCCCAAAACACATAGCCCCAAGAATTTTGTGTGTGCATGCACTGCAGGTGCATGCCCGAGCCAGAAAGTGGCGAGGTTTCTAGGGGGGTGCGGGGTCCCATGTAAAATTTTGAAATTTAGATGCCATTTCCTTGCATTTTAGAGCATGTTGTCATCATTCGCAAGTCAAATTAGCTAAGAGAAACTTTATTGTATTTTGTTGTTTCCTTGGGCAAAATACATTTTTCGGTTACTTGTTCCCAGAACACAAATTGTGTTGCATGCAGAACACGGCAGGTAGAAAATATCGTGCATGAAATGTTGATTTATTTGCGTGAAACACGCAGTTTTTTGCGTTCATAAACGTGAACACTGAATAATCAAGCAACATCATGGTAAGGGACACCTGAAATGGGTACACATATTGTACCCATGTGAGGAATCAAACTGCAATGTTTTTCTTTCTGTGATATCAAACACTGTAACCACTAGGCTACCCCACCGCCCACAGAAAAAGGGAGGTAACTAGCTCTGAATAAGTATTTGCCATGCACCACTTTCCTATCAAGGCAAGAATCATGAAAGGACTTCACACATTTTAACCATGCAAGGTTTTGAACTTGGATCTTGAAGAATCAACGACTTAACTTCTGACCTACACCACATTTCCTTCAGTGAAGCTCATTGTCATCACTGTCATCACGGTCATCATATGACATTGCTGTGTATCATTTTTGTTGTTTAACGCCACACTCAGCAATATTTATTCAAGTGGTCTGTAAATAATTGTGTCTGCACCAGACAATCCAGTGATCAACAGATACATGGCATGTGTCCACCAAGTCAGCGAGTCTGACCAACTGATCGCCTCTTACGACAAGCATGGGTTGCTGAAGACCAATTCTAACCCGGATCTTCACGGGTCTCAATTTTACCGAATATATGATAAATAAAGGTATCTTGAGAAAGAGTCATGTCAATTACAATAATGAATGTGTAAAACAAAAAAATAGAATAAATTTGATTCAATTTACATTTTTAAACATTGTAAACTAGCAACAGTTCAAGAACACTTGAATATATCATTTGACAGAAGTATTGAACAGATCATTTTCACAACACACAACTCTGGATATTAGATATTGAAGCTGTAAAGCTAAATAACATGATACGTTGATGAATCAATACAGCCTTAGCACTGACAGAATGTTCTAATGGACATATTTTAACAAATACATGTATAGGCCTGAACACATATAAGCATTTGTATAGCAATTCTGTTGGTACACCAAACATCATTTCAGTGTATACACACGCCCAGTGGAATACAACATACGCACAGGAAGTCCTTTACCTCTGTCTGCCATAATGAGATAGCAATGTGCAGGTTTTATGGCCTAAACAAGGCAATCCCATGGGAAATCATAGTGCGACTACAAATTTGTCTCCCAACTGACAACCATCTTCTGTTTGTTTCGTTTGTATGTTGATTAACGGCCCACTCAGCAATATTCCAGCTATATGGAGGTGGTCCGTAAATATCTCAGTCTGGACCAGACAATCCGGTGATCATCTGCATGAGCATAGATCTGCGCAACTGGGATACGATGACATGTGTCAACCAAGTCCGCAAGCCTGAATGACCGATCCTGTTAGTTGCCTTACACACTATCCTCTGTACCTTCGGGACTTGCATTTACATCCTTCTCTAATCCATTTCCCTGGTTCTGGCAATCAGGCATTACCTACCCTTGATTTGAATTTGCATATTTTACCAACCAAACAAACATCATGATGAGGAAAATGGAACCGGGGAAAGTTTGACTTAAGACCACCATTTTTAACAGACATGAAGGAATCCTTTCCATTAAAAAGTGTTGCTGAAGGCTGCCTTTGTGTGTCAGTTTTTAAAGTTGAATTTCTCACTGATGCTATCAAAAATCAATGGGACTGGTTGCTGTATTAATGAGGATACCGAATGCCTCATATTATGATCGGTCCGTTAGACTGAGTAGCGTAGCTAATCAAACTTGCTGATGAAAATCAAGAGCAGGTAATTTGAGGTTGCTGGGATCACTAGAACAGATCCAGGAGTTAGTTTAGGTTTACCGAAATGAAAGCCATGAGGATGACTGGCAATGCCTTCAGATTTCTATAAGTCATTTCATGAGCATTTTGACAGAATGACCTTCAAATGACCTTGACATCGGACACAATCACACATGGACAAGCCTTTTTATTATTAAATACACATTGTGTGACCTTGACTTTCTGAGTCTTTGCCAGTCACCATAAACACTTGTGACAACATCATGGGTTGCAAACATAGGCATGGTTGGGGTGTCTCAAATATGAAATCTCCTAACTGTCAAGCTTTAGAAACACATGTCAGAAAAAATCCCAAAAGATAGTGAGTGGCAGCTGTATTAAATCATAACCATGTGGATAGAAAACCTGTTGTGACTTGTGATAAATTCAGTCACGCACATTCAGCTGTCCCTTTAACAGTGAGTGACAGCACTGAGCAAAAATCAATGCTTTGAATTGTGCTGATGTTACTTCCTGGAGCATCATCTCTATAAAGAAGGATGGCTAAGTCAGTGATGCAGACAGTTCACATTCACCACATCTGTTACATCAACAAGCACAGGTACAGTTTTAACAGGGATAACACAATTCCACTTTTTGTTCAATATTTGTACAGCAGGACAAACTCATAGCAATGCAGTGTACTCAATAACTTACTTCGGGAACTTTTAAAGTGATAGGGGTTATAGTGGGTGAGTGAGTGAGTGAGTTTTACGCCGGACTTCGCACATAGCAATAATCCAGCTATATGGCGGCGGTCTGTAAATAATCGAATCTGGACCAGACAATCCAGTGATCAACAGCATGAGCATCGATTTGCACAATTGGGAACCGATGACATGTGTCAACCAAGTCAGCGAGTCTAACCACCAGATCCCGTTAGTCGCCTCTTACAACAAGCATGGGTTACTGAAGATCAATATTCTAACCTGGACCTTCACGGGTGGCATGGTGGGCGAGCTGTCTAAGGTGCCACGCTAGTAGTAGTAAGCGAAAGGTGCCTGGATCGATCCCCACTTGTGACCGGGTGTAAAAACCTTGGAGCAGGCTCTTTCAGTGTTGTCACAACCCCTAGTGTGTAGTACACAACCCTGTGCACTTGAAAGAACCCACTCCTACGACGGTATGTGACCAGATGGTGGACACACAAACATGTGCAGTATCACTGGACAAAATAATGTGACTGTGTGTCCCAGTTCACCCAGCTGCAAATGGGAACCTTGTGAGGGTGAGGCTGTGTGATAACTCGCTGCGCCTAACAGGCTGCATGAGTTGAATATTCCCCAGGAAGTTGAGTCGGTTAAACAAATGCCAGAAAAATAAGACATCCGTTGATCAAGGGAACACTTAAGCGCCTTGAGCATGTACTAGTTGCATGGATATGAGCGCATTATAAACATCCTATAATATCATATCCCAGCTAATGGCTGGTTAGGACATATATCTTGATAATATACCTCATACGATTTGCAGTGTTTTTGTTAAAGGGCAAGTTTAAGGGGAATAAGCTGGAAAAAATGAATGCTAACATTCTCTTCTTTCATGATGCTATTTCATAAAAAGGAAGAAATAATATACAAAATCTTGTTTTGAATGTTTCGGGATGAGAGGCAAGATTCGCTGGCTGGAATATGTAGAAAGATAATATAATGATGATAGGTTTATCTGTATTATAAATGTGTGTTTGTCATTGTCAATACAATTCAATCATACTGACAACGATAGGCGAGCATCAGAACTGAAAAGTCAAAGAGATCTTTGACCATGACTAAGCTACGCAAAGCCAATCACTTTACAATAGCAATACCTGCATACATGAACATAACTAATGTATTGCATACTACCAATACATATGACCACAAACACATTAAGGGGCGGTGGGGTAGCCTACAGTGTTTGCCCTGGGCATAAAAATTTAGGAGTCATCATGACTCCCTGATGTCATGAGAGGTGAGGTGAGGTGAAATTGGGTTTAACGTCGTGCTTGAGAATATTTCGCTCATATGACGACGTGCATGTGTGTGTATGTGTATGTGCTGCAGCTTGTACTAGCCCAGACTGAAGCTGGTTTTATAGTGCTAGCCCACTGAGATACCATGCCGCAGTGAAGCATGAATACCCCACTCAGACACATTATACTGACTCCGAGCTGACCAGTCCTTGTTGTACCCATTAATGCCGAGCACCAGGCAGGGACCAACAAGTACCATATTTAAACGTCTTTTGGTTTGACGCGGTAGGGGATCGAAACCGCGACCTTCCTGTCTCCGGGCGGACGCTCTAACCACTACACCACGGAGGCGGTGATGTCATGAGAGGGAGTCATGGACATGTTTTTGGGAGTCATCAAGACATCAACTGTCATTGTTTCACAACTACAAAAACAAGGTAAGGCAGGTCAGGTATTTAATCAGCACTGTGCAGTTAACTGGCAAACATTTAGTTTTGGAAGCTTAGATTATCTGAACTAAGGGCCCAGTAGCATTGCATCAACAATGACGCAAGCTTCGAAATTCTCTCCGTATTTGAGATAATTTGTGTGTCAAATATCCAGGTATTCTGCATCATGGCAAACACTGTAGCCTAGTGGTGAAAGCATTCACTTGTCATGCTGAATACCTATGTTTAACTCCCCATACGGGTACAATGTGTTAAGTCCATTCCTACTGTCCTCTTGTTGTCGGGGGGCTGTGGGGTAGCCTGGTGGTGAAAGCGTTCACTTGTCATGCTGAATACCTATGGTACAATGTGTTAAGTCCATTCCTAATGTCCTCTTGTTGTCGGGGGGCAGTGGGGTAGCCTAGTGGTTAAAGCGTTGGCTAGTCACGCCGAAGACCCGGGTTCGAATCCCGACATGGGTACAATGAGTGAAGCCCATTTCTGGTGTTCCCTGCCGTGATATTGCTGGAATATTGCTACAAGAGTTGTAAAACCATACTCACATACTCACTCACTCACTATTATAACAATTAACATGACACCAGTATTTTTAAAAATTATGTTTCAAATGTGTCTGGAAAACAGAAAAATGTCCTCTTAGACTAAATTTTGATGTGATATGTGATTTCTTTCTGTGCTTATAAATCACAGCATGATTACAAACCCTCCTTCTCAAGCACCATTCTGTGTAACAGTCTAATTCTGTGTAGTCAGTCAGTCTTGTTGTTGGAATATTGCAAAAAGCAGCAGTAAACCATCTTCACTCACATGAACATCAAACATGTCAAAAAGTTCTCCAAATTTGTTTGATCATGTCGAGCTGTAAATGATGATCATGGGTGACAAGTAAATAAGTCATGACGTAAGTCGCAATGAGGTTGCATCATGGACACAGCAGGTACTATTTTCTTGTACCTTCCATCATTAGAGCAATCCTTTGTGTACCTTGCTGACGCTCGTCTCATTACAGTTCTTGCTGAAGGCATGGAGCAAGTGAACAAAATGGATTTAATGCTGCTTTGAACAATGTTCCAATTAAGTCACAGCTCGTCAGCTTTAAGTTGCACTAAAGCTTGTGGTGATGCAAGTCTCAAATGTTTGATTTCTAGGATGAAAGGAACCAGGATGTTTACCATTTTGATGGTGGTCACAAGTCCAGGTGTAGTGCTGACAAACCACATGCTTTCTTGAGTGAGTGAGTGAATTCAGTTTTATGCCACTTTTAGCAATATTCCAGCAATATCACGGCGGGGGACACCAGAAATGAGCTTCACACATTGTACCCTCGTGGGGAATCAAATGCGGGTCTTCGGCGTGATGAGCAAACGCATGAACATGATTAACCACAAGGCTACCTCATCGCCCCAAACTTTTTTGACAAGGGCAAATCGGGACTTTAACAGACAACAGGCTTCTGGCACACAAAAGAGATTTTGCTTGTTTTGTTTCTTCACTGGTTTGTTGTCAGGTTTGTTGTTGAACGATTTACAGGGATTTACAAATTCCCTGCGTCCTATACTCATAAAAATTGACAATGGATGCAACAAAATTTATTAGAGCGTCCACGGGGACTCAGAAAATATCCAAATACAGTTTTGTAAAAATTCCAATCAAGTGACAATAAGTTATCACAATATCACTACTTCTAGCTGGGTTATAGTATTATTTGCAATTTAATTACTGTAACAATGTGATGATCATGATACACAATTCACTAACAGTATTAATGATAATATTTAAGTGTCTGGGACCCCTATATTGTTGTCCAGGACCTCTGAAAATTAAGAGTATGAGTCCCAGGGATACATACAGTCCTCACATACAGGACTCCATGTAAATCCCTGCTCAGCAATATGCCAGTTATATGGTTGCAGTCTGTAAATAATCGAGTCTAGACTAGACAGTCCAGAGATCAACATCACGAGCATCGGTCTACATTATTGGGATACGCTGACACGTGTCAACCAAGTCAGCAAGTCTGACCACCTGATCTCGTTAGTTGCCTCTTATGACAAGTAGGGTTGGGTATTGCCAAAATTTTCATATTGCGATATATTGTGACATGTGTTGGCCTACTGCAATATGTATTGGAATATATTGTGAAAGTGTAACACATGGATTAAGGTATTGAAATTACTGTTTCCTTTCTTTTGAAACGATGCCACTGGCCACTGTCAGGACTCAGATGTGATTGTACAAGAGATCAATTGAAAATGTTTCCAAATTAAAGACTTTGCTCTAAAGTTTGGAACTCGAGAAAAAGCGTCAGTCACTCTGCAACGGCGTCCGCCATTCTGGTTTGTTTATCCTTACACCGATGCCGGTACCACTACCAATCTACTTTTTTATTTAAATGGTTTAGAAATCACACAAATGCAATTATATGACCAATAAATATTCTCAAAACTATTAATGTATAATAATATCAAGGAAATATAAATGGCATTAGTAGTTTTGACTACATGACGAAAATTACTGATCGTATCAGGAGAACCGGTTCGTGAAAAGTGTACCGCAATATATCGTATTGTGATGTTCGAATTGCAATATACCGGTTAACCGGTATTATCGCCCAACCCTAATGACAAGCATTGGTTGCGGAAGACCCGTTCTAACTCGAATATTCATGGGTGACATAACAGGGCAGTAAATGAGGCACCTTAAAAGACAACAGGTTTACCTGTACAGTCCGTTTGGGTTCAAATGAGAACAATGAATGATTAAATAACTTGAAATAGGGATAAGTGCACGAAACATAAATAAGACACAGCTGTTTGCCACCCCTCGATGTGAAGCGTGAAAATAGAACAATATTCCATGATAGTTTCTCAAACAACTTTTTCTATGATTGATCATAAAATATCACATTTCAGATCATGTTGAATACAGAGGTTTCAGGACCATGTGTCTTATTTATGTTTTGTGCACTTATCCCTATTTCGAGATATTTAATCATTCATCGTTCTCATTAAACCGAAACCGACTGTAGATGCTGTACAATCATAATGTTTCTTACCTTGAACCATTGCTGAAACAGGTCTGACAAGCACATCCACAATCCTGAAAACACAAACATGATCTTTTGACCAATACCGAAAAGAGGGGAAAGATGACTTTGATTTGTGTCCTCCTCAGAGTGACATCGTGTTGGAGACACGACTTATACAAAATGTCAAAATCTGACTTGTCCATATGGAGAAAATTCTTCAATGACCTTGGATCCCCCTGTTCACACTCTCGAAAAAAGAAAATTATATGCTCCAGCCGTGTTCCGCCTAAGAGTCCAGTTGCGGACACAATTTAAAAAACATGACTACCTTACTTCTGTAGCTGATAAGAAATCTAAAAATATATATCTGAGCTGCTGGTCTTAAATTTTATCAAAAAACATATATTTGTTTATATTTATTTTTCTACCTGCAAAGAATTATTTTCAAGGAAATTTTTTTTTTTTAAATAAATAAAAAAGAACTACCGAAACAACAACCATTACCTTGCAAACATTAGCCATCCTCGGTACAATAACTTCCGAGCTGGTCCGCCGATGCATGGTGAGCTTGTCCTTCTGTACTCTCCCTGTGAATATATAAGCATTACAAACATTAAATGGCTTCTTAAAGGTCACATGCAGCCAAAAAATCAAACATAATTAAAACACAATTATCACTTATTCATGACATATAATATACATTGCTGGTTATGAAAAAACATAAAAACAAAATTATAAGCGTACAATCGCAAATCAAAAGTGCAATATTTTGTACTTGGGTTTACTTCCCAAGAAACGAAGCAGTCGGGATATCTGAACCCAGTCAGAGCGGGTGGGTGTGCACTCAAGTGTAACGGCTGGTTCATTTGCAGATGCCCTCACGGCTCATTGTGTGTGTATATATAGAGATGTTGGGTTTTGTAAATACATGCTCATTTTTTGTGTATAACATTTTGCAATCAACAGACATCATAACATGTCATGTGTACAAGTATCACACCTGCCTGTCTGTGTAATTACATAATGTGACAGAGACCGAACTCGGGCCATAAATCAATGCGTTTTGTTTATGGTGTATAGCCACATAGGTGTTAAGTTCAAATTGCATGTGGTCAGTGATTTAAATTGTGTATTGAATATTGTCATTAGCAGACGGGCAGGCAGACACATAGGTGCCAATAAAACAGACATTGAGTTTTGTCTGTGACAACGACATATCTATGTCACAGTTAGAAATTCTGTTGACGCTAAATAATGACATTGCTTTTAAGTATCGAACTGAGAAAGTGACTCGGTAAGAAGAACGTGTGGTGAAATAGACAAATGAAATTATATAGACAGTTAAATCAGTAATCTACTGTAATAACATATGAAAAGCTCGCGCCTGTGAAATATCAACAAAACACACCAAAGCCTTCACCGAATATTCACCGGACAACCCGCTTCCAAGCTCTCGCGAACCTATTTCACTGCGCATGTGCTATGAGCACAGCCCAGCTGTTGAAACCACTTCAATTCCCCCAAGCGCTTGGGGAAAGTTAGTGAATCGTTTGAACTACGATTTCGCTCGGGTTTTTTCATCGCGTTATTTTTCAACTTTATAAGTTGAATTTGCATTTTTGATGATTTGTTTCGGTAAGTCCATACCGAAAGGTATCAGAATCTGCAAAGTTGTGTTTTACGTTGCATGTGACCTTTAAAGTATACTCATTAATCAGCTCTTACCATTCTTTTCTTGAATATCAATTTTTGTATGTGTCCAACCAGACATTTTTTGCTTACCATGCTCACTGGACTAAAGTATGCAGGTTTGCGCATTTTCAGTTAGCATGAGCATGTTTTTTTACTTTTAGCAACATTCTGGCAATATCACAGCGGGGCACACCTAGAAATGGGCTTCACACATTGTACCAGTGTCAGGAATCAAGCCCAGGTCTTTGGAGTGACAGGCTATGATGGTTTTACAACCAGGCTACCCTACTGACCTATGTTCACTTGGAATAAAATTTTGAACTCTAAGGATAGGCAAATATACTTGACCTGGATAAATGACATTAACATATAAAATGTCATTTTAGAAATGTTGTATCATGTATCAGAAAGCAGTTGACCTGTGGATTTCAACTTCTTCAAAATTAAACCGAAAAAAAGAGCAATTTATGAAATGGACTGAATGTTCTTTGAACCATAGTCTACCATTTCAGTTCAATCTAAAAGACACTCTGCAATATAGGCCAGACCAATTTTATTTTGGTCTGGCCTAAGAATGATTTGCAATATACCGTATATTACCGTAGATAAGCCGAATTTTGCGGACCAAAAAAAGTAATCATGATAATCTGTTTGGTCTGTTAGTAGTAACTAGCTAGTTATTATTTGTTATACTTCGAACACACTGTTATGATTTTTATAAGTCTGTGTTGAGATAAACAGTGATTTCTACAGTCCCAGTTGTCTTGGTGATACAGTGAAACCCTTGTTATCTGAACCCTAGATATGAAGAAACCTTGCATAAAGGACACCATTTATATGACTGTTTTGAAAATATTCATCACCCCAACATCAAAGGGGGCCGGTATCATGTGATCTGAGTCATATACTCATGTCATTATACATACTGGTTTAAAAAAACCCGTCATATATCCTGTCTCATGAGTGAGTATGGTTTCATACTTTACAATATTCCAGCAATATCACGGCAGGGGACACCAGTAATGGGCTTCATACATTGTACCTTTGTGGGGTATCGACTGACTGACTGACTGAGTTTGGTTTTACGCTGCTTTTAGCAATATTCCAGCAACATCAATGCTGGGGACACCAGAAATGGGCTTAAAGGACACCATGTGACTGTTTTGCATATTCATCACCCCAACATCAAAAGCGGGTATCATGTGATCGGAGTCATATACTCATGTCATTATACATACTGGTTTAAAAAAAATGTCATATTTCTTGTCTCATGAGTGAGTATGGTTTCATACTTTACAATATTCTAGCAATATCACCACAGGGGACACCAGTAATGGGCTTCACACATTGTACCCATGTGGGGTATCGAACTAGGGTGTTTGGTGTGACAAGCGAACACTTTAACCACTAGGCTACCCAACCGCCCCTCTCGTCTATGTTTACAATCAATATGATTAATTTCATTCAAAATTGTATTCAATATTGCTTTCATATATTTGCCAAACCACGATCGTTCTACATCTATTTAGCCTCAAATCAGTGAGTTTAGTTTTACGCTGCACTCAGCAATATTTCAGCTGTATGGTGGCGGTATGTGAATAAATTATTTACATACCGCCACCAATTATAATCATTTAGCCTTGAAACTAATATTAGTTGATAATGGATCACTAAACACTAGAAATGTAATTCGTTGACACATTAAAAATAATATTAGTTAAGCATGACAATTATATTCCAACATACTGTTTTTGCCATAAGGACAGCAGGTCAGAGGAATATCCCCAAACTGACTGATCAGCTTTGCTATATGTCAAAGTGTATCCGGCAACAGCTTACAATTGTACCAAAATGGTACACTTATAGTTATTAATATTTCATATTTACATAAATATAGTAAACAGTGTAACTAATATGACACAATATTGGAATATATTATTCCTGAAATGAAAATAGTTTCAAACACAATCTATTCCAGCTATTGTGTCTGACGTCTTTGTGTTTATTATCATTTCCAACTGAATCACTGGTAGATTGGACAAAAACATTTATCTTACCTTCATATAAAATACTTTAATTTCATTGGTCAATGACGTTTTAATAAATTTCCCTCCCAGGAGGGTGACAACTGGAAAAAATATTACCCGCTGTCAAGGTAACCGCCAAACTCTATGCCGAGAAGCTGCATCGCTAACAATCATGACGTCATAATATGATGCATCTTGTGCACATAAAACCATACTAGATGGGGTATAGTGGTTAAAGCATCTTGTGCTGAAGGAGTTTCTAAAACCATTGCTGGAATATTGCTAAAAGCTATTGCTGTTTTGAGTTCACCATGTACACATTTATTTCACTGCATTTGGATCGTTTGCACACTCAACTTAAACACACTTAACCATTTTTGTTGCAGTTTTAAGCTTGTCAGAATATGTTTTACTGATTTTAAAAATCCAGTCGAAAGACAGACGCCATTTTGTTTACATGTCATCTAGTTGGTAGCGATCTTCAAAAATAAACTAAAATTATACTTTGTACAGTTAACATGGCAGTAAGATAAATACGTTGTATGCTTCTCCCTTGAGTAATCTGATTTACGCCTTTTTGTAGCAATGTCATCCCTCGCCTTTCAGCTGGGGTAACACTGCTACAAAGAGGTGTACATCAGACCATATTACCATCGAGAGAAGCATACAACTTATAGTGTTTGTTTTGTTTCCAGTTTTGTTATCCTTGTTTTTTCAGATGAAGAAATCTGTGAAGGGATAAGATTTTCTTTTACTGAGAAAAATTCATGTATAATCATATGCATTATAAAAAAGGCTTCTGTTCTTTGTACATCCACAGAATTTTAGAATTGTTTTGTTTGTTTGTTCTTTGTTTAATGCCGCACACATCAATATTTCAAGCTGCGTGATGGTGGACCGTAAAAATCGAGTCTGGACCAGACAATCCAGTGACTGACATCATGAGCATCACTCCATGCATTTGGGAAACAATATGCATCAACAGAGTCAACAAGGCTGACCTCCCGATCCTGTTAGTCGACTCATGTTTACCATGTTTACTACTACAGTATGATGTTAGACTAATTCAGTAATTGTTAGGAAGTAAATTATATCCTTTACTAATGCATTTCTAAGGCTATCATTATTGAAGAGACAATCACTTGAATCAGCTACAGTTTAGGCATCCCCAATTACTGTGTAATGTATTTCTAACCAATCGTGACAACACCGACCCTGCACCAATTTGCCATCAAAGCCGAGTGATGTCACCATCTCTATTTCTCACTTATCACTACCTAAGTACAGAATGTATTCAATTCATGAGCTTGAAATCAACAACCAATCAAAATGCCTCTTTTTAATGTGTGTTACTAATAGATCTACATTCAAATCGCAGCATCATTTAAGCAAACCGACAATTTGTGGGATAATGAATACATTGACAAGCATCTTAAGAGAAAAAGCCCAAGGAACTGCAGCTTCAAGATGAAAAGAGACCATTGATACTCATTGAAGGTCATGGCTATAATCACAGGGGTTTCAATACTGTTGCTGGGGCGGTGGGGTAGCCTAGTGGTTAAAGCGTTGGCTCGTCACGCCGAAGAGTGAGTGAGTGAGTTTAGTTTTACGCCGCACTCAGCAATATCCCAGCTATATGGCGGCGGTCTGTAAATAATCGAGTCTGGACCAGACAATCCAGTGATCAACAGTATGAGCATCGATCTGCGCAATGGGGAACCGATGACATGTGTCAACCAAGTCAGCGAAACTGACCACCCGATGCCGTTAGTCGCCTCTTACGACACGCATAGTCGCCTTTTATGGCAAGCACATGGGTTGCTGAAGACCTATTCTACCCCGGATCTTCACAGGTCGTAATGCCGAATACCCGGGTTCTAATCCCCACATGGGTACAATGTGTGAAGCCCATTTCTGGTGTCCCCGGCCATGATGTTGCTGGAATATTGCTAAAAGCGGCGCAAAACCAAACTCAGTCAGTCAGTACTGTTGCTGATATGAAGCAGTTAGCAGACCAGGACATAACATATATGCAAGACAGCCTACAATACACCTGACAGCCTATCACTCCAATTAATTCAGTCACCATGAAGCCAACTCAGGTGTGAACCTACCATTTATTACTAAGGCACCATGGAAAACCCACCAAGCACGACGATTATTGCCAGTCTATAAACATGTATAATCAGATTTCTCAATCACGGTTTGAGTTTCCTCATTTTCTATAGACCTATGAAAGATGTATGTCTTGACTGTACTCCCGCATTGTGGCTAACAGACACCCAGGCTTCCATACAAAAAGATGACTGTTTGCCTCACTAATGTCCCTGCATTTGTACTCAGGAAAATAGCCTTACAATTCAATGTCATTGTCAACATAAAATTATCATTTACCAGTTACAGTGTCAAAACAGACTCGAAGGTGTGTTTGGAAACTGATCAGTTCACCCTGAACACTGTAGACTACCGTAGTCTTTGAATATATATCATTTTGACAGTAACACATAAACCCACTTAAATTGAAAAGGTGACCCAGTAAGATGGAACCCGAGGAAATCTAGACTTGCTTCATTTGGGGCTTTAGCAGTGCATGAAGGGCTACGCAGTTGGGAAAATAATGTGGTTCAGGGGCTGTGAGACAAACTAAGATCTACAGGTGTGGAGTATGTTTGAAGTAGAGGAAATCTAGACTTGCTTCACTTGGGGTTTTCAGCATTGCATGAAGGGCTAGGCAGTTGGGAAAATAATGTGGTTCAGGGACTGTGAGAGAGACTAAGAATACTGTTGTAGGCAAACTTTCAAACCAAGCCATCTGTGAGATAGATACTTCATCAATGAACAATTGCACTGGATGTTATTATCGAAACATTCTCATATGTTTTACCGGTACAAACTTTCTGAAAGGCATTATGTCTTCTTAGCTTTCGGCCATGGGAGCCACTTGTCACTAGTCAGCAGGGAACACATAGTACATGATATAGACAACCAGTTATTCAACTTCCATTTTTGTGGAAGCTATTTTGGCTGAGTGGGTTAGCTCTCTGACTTGGTGAGCTGGCGATTAGCTGCCTAGCACTGAGAGTGTGGGTTTGAATCCCGGATGGGACTCAACCTAAGAGAAGTACTAGAATCTGTACTTTATTGAGAATATAATCCCAAATATAACCATGATTACATATGTTATCAGGGCAACAGATAAGGGGCGTACAGGCGTAATGTATGCCTCAAAATCAATTAAGTATGACATAATATAAGATTTCAAGCGTATCGTGTACGCACATAAATACCTTTGTACGTCTAACATTTAATTTCCGTGCGTATCATGCAAATGGAAATCTATTTCGGATAAATACTTGTCAAGTTTCTTTTGCGAAACACGATTTGACACATGAGGAAACCCCGACAGTAGGAATCACTTGCGTTGCCATGCAACGATATCCGTCACTATTTTTCGATTGGCTAAAACTACACTGTTCCTATTTATATCCAGTCGGACCTGACATTTCGAGCATCACACGGTCGCTCAGTTATTTCTCACGCGCCTTCAAATACAAATACATGGTTGGAAATAGTGATCGATGAATCATCCAGACAAACCACATCACCAACTCGCTCACACAAAAACATGTCAGTACTCCTTCAAAATTCTCAGTACACCTCCACTTGCAATATGATGTGTTAGTACACTCGCACCCCCAAAAGTTATCTGGAGCCCTGGTTATATCTGACCACTTTCAAAATATCATTGTGCATTGATGTATAACCGAGGGTCCATATTGTTTACATCATTTAACCTAAATTCTACACAGAATGTTTCACTTCCACCCTGATAAACAAAACTGTGAAAAAAAAGATTGAGAAGGGGTTCTTCTCTCATTGTTGGAACAACACTGATGTTGTCATCGTAACAAAGGATAATCATTTCATTGATGTTCATCTACCATGTCATGTCTGAGTGCCCTGATATCCACACCATCTTGTTGGCAGTAACCCTCCCAACCATTCCTATTGATACCGATGCTTTGATCTTACTACGGGTAATTACGAATTGGGTTGTCACATACCTGAATTATCTCTGTAGGGGATAATATTTTTGGTAAAAAAACAGATACCACAAGCTGGATAGATAAATAGTTCTGAAGCATCCTCACATAAATACTCATATATGAGGGTGTTTCATTAATATCAGGGTGGTGGGGTAGCCTAGTGGTTAAAGCGTTCCCTTGTCACGCCTAAGACCCGGGTTCGTTTCCCCACAGGGGTACATTGTGTGAACCCATTTCTGGTGTCCTTCGCAGTGATCTTGCTGGAATATTGCCAAAGTGGCGTAAAACAAAACTCACTCACTCACTTCATTAATATCATTATCCTGCTTCAGGGGCCTACGGCCTGAAGTGATGTGCCAATTATAAAACAGATGTCCAGTGTGTCCGGAGTTGTGGGGTACAGGAAATTGTAGAATAAATGTCAGCATTTTGGACACAACGAACAGAAATTCAGGACATACATTTGCTTCAGATAGATGCCAGGTGAGCTCACAAAAGAACTACAAGCAAGACACTTATTGTTCTCCATATATTTATCATGTTTATCATGTTTATCCTTATATCTCCGAAGATTTATGGTTTATTCCGTAGGCTGCTTTGAAATCGAAACTGCATGACAAGTGTATACAAACACCCAGTAATTGATCAAAACTGTTTAGCATGATGTCAATGTAATAACAAATAATTAACATGTCATAACATAAAAAGCTTTGAATATCTGATTTATGTTATAGGGGCAGTACGGTAGCGCCTAGTAGTTAGAGAGTTTACATCACACAGAAGACCAATTTTCGATTCCCCATATGTGTAAATACTGTGAATCCCATCACTGGTGTCCCCTGCCATGATATGGATGGAATATTGCTATAACCTAAGCGGTACAAAACCATACTCACTCTCACTCACTCCATTATGTCCTCTGATCTAAAATTATCACATCAAAGACATACCACAATGGGCAAAAAACAATCAATTAAACGAGACGACATGACATCGTCTGTAGTGTTGTGAATTGGTTGAAATCTCACAATTGATGATTGGTTCAATACCAACAACCAATCATCGAAAAAAATAGGTTAGCTTTATTTTTTAGATTTTCCGATTCAGGATGCAGTTGCAGATAAGTATAAAGAAAAAAAACATTTGGTTCTCTGTTGTTTTTTGTTTTATTTAGAAACTGCACAAATTACATTTGCAAATTTCACATCCAGTGTAAAATGATTCAGTTCCAGTGTAACATAAAGATCCCAGATTCTTCAAGAAATATTCAGTCATGACTTTTCAGAAAGTGAAGTGAGGTTTCTAAGAATTAAACACGTTTTCTGGCCCTGACAACATCCTAGATATGTTCCATCATCAAGTATTTCAAACTCTATTACAGCGGTACCATACCAAACCCTTTTGGAGGAATCATACCCAAATGTTGGACACCCCACACCCACTCATACCTAAACAGCTGGATGCCTCCTACCCAAAAAAACGATTCTGTAATCAGTAAACATATATATCATTTGAAGCGATTGATTGTATTCTAAACTGCATCAGTGAAATTATAATACTATATGCAATTACTCAAAATAATGTTTGAGACAAGGGCTGTTGTGGTGACCCAATCTAATCCCCAAATGGGGACATGACCAACTTCCAAGCCTGTTTAGTTTAGGTACTAAAACAACAACAGGGCACCTTGGACAGTTGAGTTAACTCAATCTATTTAATTCTAATAATACAAGAATATGAAGAGGGAATGACTGTTCAGTTGTCAAAACATTGTGACACCATCAAAAACATTGAAAGATTGAAATGTTCAATGAATGAATGTTGGAAAAGTAAAAGGGTTATGAACACATTGCTATCAAAGTACAGGAATAAGTGTTGCATAAATTATAAGAATCATATATCATTTATAGTTAAATACAGTCTACACCAGTGAAAACAATCCAGTTTTGGCCATGAAGTAACTGGGTATGGTTCTTCCAAATTTGGGTACAGGTCATCCTAATTGGGTATGAGTCATCCAAATTTGGGTATGGGTCGACAAAAAAAAGGTATGAATGCTCCAAAACAGAAGACGACTTTAGGTATGAGTTACTTATTTTCATCGTGTACGAATCTCTGTGAGTACGGATCGTCTAGTATCCGTCTGATTGGATTTGTGTAATATCAAAGTAGTTTAAGGTACTATATGCCAGCAAATATAGGAACAGGAGGGATTCGGCACCCTATGTTCACGCTCAAGGTTTTCCTGCAGAGTGGACGCAGAAATTTGATGAAGTGCCCCCAAACTAAAATCCTGTGCGTCCTTGTGGATGCAATATAATTTTTATCTGGGAAAGAACTTTCTGAGTTAGTAATGATATCCCATATTAAAATATAACCTTGCGTAATCAATATTCGCGCACCTAACACGTTTCGGCGCGGTATGCGGAATTAACAAGACACGTGAAAATCACCAATTATACAAACCTTTATCAATAATTTTTTTTATAAAAACATAAGTTTCAGCCTTTGACACTTCGCTATCATAGCGGGACGAAGCCAACATGCCCACTGCGGTATCAAGGTCAGTTGTGCACTACGTCATCAATATTCGTGATAGCTAAATTCCAGACAAACAGTGTGGCGAATAATTAACGCCAACAGCTGATAACGATGTAACATTGAAGTTCATGTCTCACAATGCTTATTAGAAAGTTATCGTCAAGAAATGTTCAGAATTTGTCTACTTTTGTCTATCTTAATAAACAAAACACTTTGAAACAAGTAAAAGTTCCTGAATGAAAGTAAAAAAAACATTCTTCATCACTTTGGAGACATTTATTAAACAAACACAAGCATAGTTTCGTAAGTCATTAATTATAACTATTTGATTTCATCTTACAAAGTCGTCATAAATGCTTTTACTTGGTAACTTTTCATGAAGATTTGTTGTAAAGTTATAAGGATTGTGTCTGAAATGGGCTTCCATAGTTAATTTTCCCGGGCCACACCCCACCTACTGGGGTCATGACTTTTGACGTTACCAGTTACCAATGCAGACGACCGGTAGATGGGTGCTGTCATGAACGAAAACTATTTTTGTGGGCTCATTTTCGTCTCGATGTTTTTGCATTAGTGCAGAAGCATTAAACTACGTTTGCTAGAAAACTTTGATAAAAGAACTCTCATTTGAAGCTTGTGATTTCCAAATTGTGACAGCAGGAATACAAAGACGACTTCATGTTTACAAACACAAACTCTGACATCATGACTTTATGTGTAGCGACCGCATGAACCGGGAAATGATAGGTGCGTGAAAATAGATGTCTGCGAATTTACATTACATCAGAATACACATTCTGTTTACAATTATTATTCTAATGACATTGAAAGTAACACATTATATAACATAATCATTATCAAATGAGAAGCATCCATGATCATTGATTTCATGCAAATTACTGGACTCCCAATTTTGGAAATGGACTCTCAGAATACATATTCCCTGAGTCCCCAGGGCTCCCACTTTCGAAGAGCAATGTAAAACCCTGCACACTGATATAAGAATGAGGTTCGTTAGAGCAAAACTGTGTGTCAGATTCTAGTCCAGCATGTAACTAGACGACTTTGCACTACACCAAGGTGTGCTCGATGTAGACCTTGGCTGGAAAACTAGTTTATTCATATGAACTAGTTCAGATTCAATCCAGGATCATTCATACCAACCTTAGTGTTTGGTGCGTTTCAGCTCTTTCCAGTAAGAAGCCATCATTTTCAGTGTAAACTCCAACTCGCTCCTACAAAATTGACAACTGTGGAAAAATTCAACTCGCCGACAGTGATGTGACACGAATGAAGTGTTACAGATATTGAAGTCGTCAGTGTGCACGAAAACTGGGACGTTGGACAGGTGTTGGGTCACCTTCGGTGACAAAACAAGAATGTGACTCGATGTATAATTCACACTGTGAGGCTGAAAACAGGACGTGGGAGCCCCGTGGTGATGATCTTGTGGTGTCGTGTTGAGAGGATTACTTTGGTGGTAAATCACTAATTTTGACAAGTTGACGTGTACACATTTTTCCAAACAAACATTCTAACTTCCGCTACGTATGCGCATGATCGGAAACATTACACAGAACTCCCCACAGAGAATGATAACTCAGTGTGCTGTTGCGAAGTCGTTGTTTCAGATTTTGACTTTTCGTGATCGTGTTTTAACCAAATTGTATCATTTTAGTTGATAGATTATATGCATGGTATAGATGCCACTCAAGCTTAACCCGTCCAAATAATAATGAATTATTTTCTTGATTTACATTTATTTTCTTGTATTTGCGTCAAAAGTAGTAATGTGTAACAGAGACCATATCGGTATATGGTCTCTGTGTGTAATCATAAAAAGGTTCTTCAAAGCAGAATAGTTCGATCAGTCATAGAAATAAATTATGTTTTTAGTGAAGCTGTGAAAAGATTTTTAAAGTACGACTGAAAACACATGCAATATTATAACCACCGCTGAGCGTTTTCTGGATCTTGGAGAACCCACCAAGCTCCGTTATTCTTTACCTTACATATGTGATCAACATATGCTTAGATATTAACAATGCTATTCCATCATGTCTTAACTGGACAGGGGCGACGGAGTAGCCTAGGGGCAAAAGTGTCCGCTCGTCACGCCGAAAACCCGGGTTTAATTCCGCACATAAGGGAAAGGAAAGTGTGAAGCTCATTTCTGGTGTACGCCGCCGTGATATTGCTGAAAGTTTTGCTTAAAGCGGCTAATTGATGGTTATTAAAACATGAACATTAAAGGAGTTGTGTATTGGGTCAGGCTAGGTTTCAAGTGTTGATGGTTTACAGACTGTTATTAAAACTTGAACATACCAATTATACAAAGTGTTATTGACTGACGAGTAGGTCTCTTTTCAAGTATTTATAGATTGAGAACACTTATTGAAGCTTGAGCATTCAAATAAAAGGAGTTGTTTATTGAAGGCAAGCCAGTATTGAATATATTGGTTTACCTCAAAGTCTCAGGTTGATACAAAAGTTAATACCATAACACCATATAGTTACTCGGTCGTCACCATTCGGAAAGTAATCGATAAACATCGACTTGAGAGTCGGAAGGTGTCAAGCGACTGTTTAAACGGTCGATATAGCACGGGATTTTGCCGGAACTTCACATCCATCATGTTATGTATATGACGTGATATTGATTAGAAATTGGCCTTGCCAAATATTCAGTTTAGCTCTTCTTGGCGTCTTCAACATGTTTTATTTAGCTAATCAAGAAAATAATGGTAATTCGACCTTGAAAAGGAAACATATTTCCTGAAAATATTTCGATTCAGTTTAATTGTACAAAACATTAATACAATATGCAAGACCTTGTACGTAATGCCTTGTTATTGCGAAAATATCATGTGGAACCGTATACGTGTTTCGCCGGGAGACGGTGATTTCGTAGACTGAACCATTTTGTAGACGCGGTGGATTCGTAGCCCAGACTGGTTCGTAGACGGTGATTTCGTAGACGTGTATTAATAATTGAATAACAGTATATACTAAGTTTGATTTTACTTAGATTGTGTGTAACGAAGTTGTTATGCTTTGTTTTCAGTGATACGAAACTAAGGGCAGCTAAGGACAAGAAAAGTGTGATTGAAGAGTGAACGAATATTTTCCCGTATCTTGTCTAGACTTGTTTACATGTATTTGTATTTGTATATGTAGGGTTTGTTTTCAGTGATACGAAAATATTGTTACTGTGTGACTTTGTGTGTAATAAAGATGAAGCGTCGTAAAATGTTACACCGCATCTTGCAATCTAATTAAAATCAATATAAGATGTACCGTTTTATTTCTTTTTCAAATACACATGCAGGAACCACCGCCTCCAGGAATTGAGAGTGCGTTTGCGAATATGGTTTTATGCCGCTTTTAGCAATATTCAAGCAATATCACGGCGCGGACACCAGAAATTGGCTTCACACATTGTATCCATGTGGGAAATCAAACACCCGGGTCTTCGGAGTGACAAGCAGCCGCTTTAACCACTAGGCTACCCTACCGCCCCCAAGGCAGGAGAATAAGTGTCGTACTTATTCATCGGGAGTTTATCCGAGGGAGTGATTTTTCTCAAATGAACCTTCTTGATTTATGTTCGTTGTGTTGGAAAACCTGACGTTTATTCTAGGATTAACATCCGTACATCCTTTATTCCAAGTACCATATCCAAGTACAAATGTGAAGATATCTAAATCAAGAATTTATGTAAATATGTTTGGTATCTCTCTAATGTGTCAGTAGCTCTGCTGATGTAACACAAATTCCTGAAAAGGCATTAAAGTATTATTCTATTCTATTCTATTCTATTAACTGTACTTTAATGAAAATGCAGAGTTCCCGTTGGGCCAGTAACGTGAAACTTTGTACACTAACAAATATATTCTGTGGAATCGTGTGGAAATATGGCATTGCTAATTTCTGGGAAATAATTTTTTAGCTGTTCAGTGTTAATCGTGAAACGTTGTACACTCATACAAGACAAGAACCGTGCTTTGTTATACAGGAACCTAGAACTAAATTACAGAGTGCAGCTCAACACGGTCGGACATACGGTCTTAATGAGAAGAGGTTTCCGGTGCTTATATTACAAGCTGGTCAATATTGCCCCTGAGGCAACAAATCGAGGCACTGAACAGTTCTGTTCCTTTAATTACACAGAAACGTATCAGACTGTTCGTTCCCTCAATTACTTTCATGGAACTTTGCATATACATCGAACAACTACTGAAATATAGTGCCTTTAGTTCTGTTGACATTTTAAACTTTGAGGGTTTGTCCGCTTCACAGGCAGAAATTTCAAGTGAAGGTATAGTTGGGGTCAGGTTTAAATATATGTATTACAAACCTTTTCAGTATTTTCCCAGCACGTTAGAGATAAAATATTTCCGGGTTTAGTTTAAACACTTCAGTTGGTTTCGTTTCAGGAGCAGCGATCTGAAATCTTTCTGTGTTGCTTACAAAGGATTTATAGAAATATCATTCTATGGTGCCTTTTAATTTTTGCATCAAACAAGTAGGGTGCCAATATTGGTCTTTGGAAAGTTCACTTCGGAATTCATCTTCACTTGCCGCCTCTGCTGTGTTACTGAACGAGTGAGTGAGTGAGTGAAGTTTTACGACGCTTATCACGACGGGAGTCACCTGAAATGGGCTTTACACATTGTACCAATGGGGGTAATCCAACCCGGGTTTTCGGCGTGACGAGCGAACGCTTCAACCACAAAGCTAACACCCAAACCCCCACCCCACCCCCCGTTATTAACCTACTGAAGAGTATAGTGCAGTCCGAATGAAGTTTCAATTTGTGTGTTACAACCAATATTCAGCATTACAATAATACTGAACCCTCGAGTCCGTTTGGCTCAAAAACGGACGGATGAATTGCAATCGAACTCGAAAACTACTAAACATATAATACTCAATGAAACACTGATCATAATCAAATCATCAGACCAACTCTGGGATTTTTTTGCAAAATTTATCTCCTAAAAATAAAAAAGTTGTTTAACAAACTATCATTAAATTTTTGACACAGTTCACTATTTGTTACGAGGGAGGGGTGCAAAGAGAGGAACAGCCAGGTGTGCGAGAAATGATGGCGACAGCACAGCACAGGAAAATGATTCAACAACTTTGTCGGCACTTGTGCACGTGCTCTACGTACACCTGGCTGTTCCTCTCTTTGCAGTCCTCCCTCGTAGCAAACAGTGAACTGTGTCAACATTTTAATGATAGTTTGTTAAACAACTTTTTTTATTTTTAGGACATAAATTCTGCAAAGAAATCACAGAGTTGGTCTGGTGATTTGATTATGATCAGTGAGTATGTTAGTTTAGTAGTTTTCGAGTTAGATTACAATTCATCCGTCCGTTTTTGAGCCAAACGGAGCTATACTTGAAAAAGTATAGATGGGCCAAGATTTTGATCCTCTGCGCAACTGCTTTCTTCTCGCATGCTGTGATCACTGAAGAGTTATCTGCCCTTGTCGTCTGTATGGCAAAGACGGTAGGAATTTACGTCCGCACCTTTCAATATGAACACTACACGCTGAACAGCGTCCAGCAAATCAGAGACTGTCTACAGATAAAATATTATGGTGTCTGAACAAATACAGGTTTTCGCTAAACTGTGAACAAACACCAATATTTTCAAACTTTATTTTATTTTGATAACAATGCTTGCATATATTGTATATTCTTTAAAAAATAAATATAATCATAAAAAAACATCATTTTTACAAACATTTTCTCTATACATCTGAATTAGATTCACAAAAAAAAACATAACGAAATTGTCCACATATACAAATAAATGTAAAGTTTGAATTGACTTTTGCATTCAAGGTTCCAAACTTAACTGGCCCGGTGTGAAATGACTTTCAAACAAACCTCACACATAAATCAAATGGAAGAATTTTGCACCCTCTCTGAATATCTATCCAATCAAGTAGCTTATTTACAAATCAAACACACACTTCCTAATGGCAGAAACACAAAAATTAAAACCAAATAAGAATGGTCTTTGTGGGCGTGGTGGGCGAACTGGCTAAAGCGCCAGGCTAGTGATCCAGCGAGCTTGAGGTGATTTGATCGAGCCCACCTGTGACCGGGTGTAAAAACCTTGGAGTCAACTTTGTGTGCAGAATCTTTCAGTGTTGTCACAACCCCTAGTGTACAGTACATAACCCTGTGCACTTAAAAGAACCCACGAATCCATTGGTATATGACCAGATGGTGGCCACATGAATACCTGCAAACACCTAGTTGCGGGTACAGCAACGTGCAGTAAACTTGGACAAAGTACTGTGACTATGTGTCCCAGTCCACCCAGTTGATGCTTGAGACTGAGTAAGTCAACTTGTCTCCAATTATATAACAATTCAAATACAGTGAAATTGCTTAAAAAAGACAATATGGCGAACACTTCAATATATCTCAACACATCACAAAGTACCAGCTAGCTTAGTGTGTTGTTGACATTGGATAAAAATATCAAAATCTTTCTAACAAATCTCTCATTGGTGAATCTCTAAACACTTTCTTGATACACTGAAATTCAAAACAAACACTTCCTAATTGAATTTGCAAGGCACATCTGCAGGCAAAGTCATCCATTTCTTCACTATATATATATTTAGCGAAACTTCATTAATCCAGACCCTGCAACTATGGAAACCATGATTTCTGAGTGGGAAACCATAGCAATACAAATGGACATTATTCTAGAATTTTGAAATTTGATAATCAAAATGGTTTCACTTGGAATGGTACTGTCTGGATAAACAAGTTTTTCACTGTTAGCTATGACCAATTGTTTGTACACTGGGCATAATTGTATTTAAGCTCTTTACACTACCTGAAAGGGAACATATACTGATCCCACTTTCTAAGGAATCTAAGAGTGTATACATTTTTTAAAGTGCACACTTACAGGCAGAACATATAAGGTGAAACCTTTTTAAAAAGTGGTTTAGGGACCATATGACCTTATAATATTGATCATTGGAAAGGATTTTTTCTGACCTGCACTTCATATTTTTATTCCACCAACCAACATTCTTCACACATGGTGTTAAACTGCAAGACCAACACGACCACTTCAACATCAACACAGCACACATGGCAGAATGCTCAGGTGTTTCGACGAACACAAAAATTTCAAGTCTTTGTTGTATTTTCCTGAACAACTGACCATGACTTTTTCCAAGAAATCTTTAATCCAAGCAACAAAGTAAACAAAGTCTTTTCTGAAATTTTGTGATCTAGGCATGAACGGAAATCCTACCTTAAACCCTTTGATACCAGTTTTTCATATTGCTGGGCCTAGATCAATTGAAGGCGATCTATTGAGAAGTGTGGTACAGTCTGAATGGCAGCACAGGGAATGGCCATACCAGGAACTTGAAACTTGGAAAGTAGCATGCCATACATTCATCACTGTTTAAAGGCAACTATATTTTATCTGATAAGAGACTATTTTTGTGGCAAACATGCCTTGGTTTTTAAGATAATATTATTTTCCCAAATGTTTTTCAGTTCATGTTGACAATTCTTTATAAAAAACCATGTGTTACAAAAATAATATTTTGATGATGGATGATCATGAAAAGAAAAAGTAAAAAGGATTAAATAGTTTCTCTTGTTTGAGCATCAGCAAAACAATGACATACTGTATCCTTTTGTTCAGCTTCTGATACAGATGTATTCACTCAAAACAAACATCAGTTCAGAGCTTGTTAAACCTATGAAGTTTTCAGTTTTCATTCAGACTTAAATCCACATCCAAACCAAAATCGATTTATTCAGCACCCGTTTCCTCACAATAGCCATGACTCTGAAGCATCACTCTGAGTAGCACACTTTAAACAATGGCCAGGTTTTATGAAATGTTTAGGTACTGATTATATAGATTATGGCAAAGTGGTTGCAAAACAACATATAAAACACAAAGAACAAGATTGACGAACATGTCACATACAACAATAATTATTAGATCTTATTTATGACAAAGAGTTATTCACAGTGGTCAGTGTTCAGCATGTCACTAAGAATATTTCCCACAATCCATTCCACAATATCACTGTGACTTAAGGCCAACCTTTTCTTACCACTGGATACAACTTTAACATAAGATTCAGCAGATTGGAAATGAATGAAAACATATGGACACCTAATACAACCAGCACATTGAATACCTGTTATCTAACACAAACTCAAGATGTATTTATTAGAATATTACCATAGCAGTCTAGTCTTAATTGCCCAAAGGCAACCTTATACTGCAACATCTGATGAGTCTAATAAAGGTTAAATGATCATTTGTCTTCTTTGTTTCTCATTTTTAAAATAAAACAAAGGAGCTGGTTGAATTGTGATTGAAGTGACAAGAATAAGTTGGTCTCAGCTGAACATATTGCAGAATTGAGAATTTTTAAACATACAGTACTTTCATAAAGTAAAGCATATCAGTACACCAATTAACAATAAAAATTCTACATGTACTATTTACCAGGTTATTGCAAAACTACTTTGAATCAAACAACCATCTGTTGAAGAAACTTGGACACTTTGGTGCTGCCACTACAACTGGCAATAGACAACGGTTGTTGTCAGACTTTCCCTAGCAAATCTGCTTTCTGGTCAAATCGTCATAGTACACATTGTCAAGACAACTTAGTAATCAGCACCAAAATATTCCTTTTCTTGAGGTCATTTCTGGATTTATGTTAACTAAATCTACATAAAACATAATATGGTCACAAGTCTTTTAATCTCAACTTGCCCCATAAAAATGCAATACAATCAGATCGTTTTTCATGGTTTTAAGCTATGGCTACACCTACTTCTACGACAATGGTATTTCCCATCCTCACCATCAGACAGGCACATGCTGAATATAATGAAAGAAGCACAATATTACCGGTATACAGTCAATCCACAGATTTAAACATACTCTCCACATTCACTGTTGGTTTGATTTGTTTTGAATATTCTCTTAACTGTTTGCATACTTCAAGATATGTGCACATAGAAATATATTTTGAAACGATATGTGCCAACTGACAGAGGTCTTGAAAGTCAAACTATTGGATATACATCTTATGTAAGTATATTGTCATACTTCTTTTGATATCTTATGCATAAACACAAATAAAACATTGATGTATCTGTATGTTATGAGTAAATAGTTTTAGTCCAAACATATTTGTAGTAATTTCAGTGGCATCAAAACTTCTAAAAATTAATGGAAAATGGCAAAATACCCAATTGAGTTTGAGTGAGGTGAGTACAATTTATTTGGTTACTCAAAGGAAAATTAGGATACCCAACTGAGATGAAGACAAGTGAGTACATAACTCAATGACCCGAAAAGTTATTTGTAGCTCTGCAGTTTCTATAGGGCTTGAAAGGTAACATCCAATACTTTTGAATATTTATACATTTATCTGTCAATACTGTCATCTGAGATTCACTATATTGTTGGATATGTTGTCATGAAAGCAGGATATGGAAGCTTTATGCGGCAGAAGCTGCTTTCTGTATGCCTTCTTTTAGAAACTTGACATAGTTGTAGCTGGATGGTTCAGAAAATCTGCAAGCACAAATACAAGATAATAAATGACATGAATAACAAACAGGGACGGTAATGATAAAGCATCATTCATGTGTTTCACACAGTCTCATACAGAAAACTGGTGTTGAAGCACTGGAGTCATTAGATGGAAAATTGGTGCAGAAGCACTGCAGTCTTTTCAGGGGTGAAAATAACCCATTGCCCAACGTCCGAGTCCAGTGTTTTTTTCTGTCGGGCAAGCAAATTCGTATATCACACTGTACCGGCGTCCAGTTGACTTTCCAATCTTAATTATGTCGTTTATTTAAAAAATCAACAAAAACACGGCCGGTATAGTGGAAAAATTATCAGGGCAAGTGATTTCACATGTGCCAATGTACCGATGACACTAGCAATTTTAAAGTTATTTCCATCCCTGCCTTTTATGGAAAAATAATGCTAAAGCAACAATGAAAGAATGCTACAAATGAAATATTTGAAACATCACAGTTTTTGAATGCCTACTCACCCTGACTCAAGAATGGAAGTGTCCATGTCCAGGAAATCATTGGCATTTAACTTGTTAATGATGGTGCCATTTGGCAGAATCACCATCATCATGACAGGGAAGTTATAGTTAGTGATAATCTCCTCTGCCTTCTTTGCAAGCTCAGGCTCACTGGAGTCCTTCTTCATTTCCTGCAAGGGAGGTAACTCACGTTTTTAATCTGCCATAGAAGCTGTTTATCTGCTGCTGTGAGTCATTACCATTAAATACAGTAAATACAATAAACTATGATTATAAGGTACACCCTTATAATGAACTGACAGACATGACAAACTGCCTTTTTCGCCATGGACACCTACTGTATATTTTAGTTAAAACACATATAATGAAATACATTTATTACAAACTAAAATTAATGGACTTATTTGAGTTGGTAATAACATAGTACACTTTACATAGTTTTTTATGTTTTATTTTTGGTTTGTTCATTCAAACAATAGTTTTTGAGCTGGTAACTTTCAAATGGACAATGCTGTGTAACCCAGTATTTAGTGATCTGCGCCCAGATGACTTGTGTCAAATTTGACGAAATAAAGAACCATTATTGGTTACCAGGGACCACCTACCCTGAACCCATCCTCACCCTAACACTAAACCCTCACCCAGTCAAACCCTCACCCTGACACTAAACCCCATTCCCACCCTGGCCCGAACACTAAACCCCAATCTTACCCACAACCTTACGTTAAAACCCAATCGCACCCTCCCCCTAACACTAAACCCAAATCTCACCACACCTTCACACTATATCCCAGTCCTAACCTCATCTTAACACTAAACCCCCTTCCCACCCTCCCCCTAACATTAAACCCCAATCTCATCAATCCTCACCGTAAACCTCAATCTCGCCCTCACCCTAAGCCCAGACCCACCCTCACACTAAACCCCAACCCCACCCTAACATCAATCCTCAATCCCACCATATGAGCTCACCTCTAGTTCCGCTAACAGGGACCAGGAACTAATGAAGTTCTCAGACAGGAGCTGAGTGACGGGCGGGCTCTCCAGGGTGGTTTCCCTGAGAGTCCGCCCCCGAACCTCAGCAGCTCTGGTCATCTAGGGCACCCCATAATATGATCGAGTGCACTAGCTTCTTCTCTGTCTTTGCTCTTTTAAAAGCTTCTGTAAAATTGTAATATGGAACCTGAAATCACAGAAAACTGAATCTAATCACATGAAATAACCAATTAAAGTAGTAAATATATATCTTGGGAGGAGAAATACATTAACAGTTGTCTGATTTTGGAATCAGGTTAAAAAAATGTTTTGAACAGCTTGACAAAAGTGAAAAGATCAGTTCCACAATGAGCAAATTTGGTCTGGAATTCCGGACAATGCAAGTAAAAAAAGTGACCAGTTTTCTACATTCGTTGAATAGATTCATTGTGGCTGCAGGTGAAATGGTGTGGTGTATTAAAAAAAATGAAACCATGGCAAAGTGATTGGACGTGGGATACAGATTACCTCAAATGTAATCTGAGACAAAAGGATCACTGATATGAGGTGAGGTGAGTTGAAATTGGGTTTTACGTCATACTTGAGAATATTTCGCTCATATGACGACGTGCATGCGTGTGTATGTGTATGTGCGGCTGCTTGTACTAGCCCAGACTGAAGCTGGTTTTATAGTGCTAGTCCACTGAGATACCATGCTGCAGTGAAGCATGAATACCCCACTCAGACACATTATACTGACTCCGAGCCGACCAGTCCTTGTTGTACCCATTAATGCCAAGAGCCAGGCAGGGACCTACAAGTACCATGTTTTAACGTCTTTTGGTATGACGCGGTCGGGATCGAACCCGCGACCTTCCGCTCTCGGGCAGGATGCTCTAACCACTACACCACGGAGGCGGTCTCACTGATATGAGAACATGTTGATTAGGAGCTTATAGAGACCAGTGAAGATACGGGTTAGAATTGGTCTTCAGGAACCAATTCTTGTCACAAGAGGCAACAAGAAGACAAAGTCATCAATATCCCCAGCAATGGCAAAATACTCTTCAAGATTATGTCTACAAGTTATGATTATGTCAAATATTTAGGTGTGTATATAGAAAAGTGGAAGGAGAGTATTGAAAGGTTTTTAAAGTTCTGCTCCAGAAAGGAGCACTATCACCAATATCAGTGTATGTCAAACTTGTTGCCATGGAAATGCCCAAAATATTTTATTCAGAAATCCAAAACTACCAAAAGGCACCAGTACACCACCAGATCTATGTATGTGCCAAGTTTGGTGAAGAAACATTGAACGGTTTTAGAGTTCTGCTCCGGAAAAGTGCACTACCACTAATTTCTGTTTTAGTCAAACTTGTTGCCATGGAAACGCCAAAAATATTTTATTCAGAATTCCAAAACTACCAAAAAGGAACCAGTACACCACCAGACCAATCTATGTGCCAAGTTTGGTGAAGAAATAGTGAACGGTTTTAGAGTTCTGCACCGGAAAAGAGCACTACCACTAATTTCAAACTAAGTCGAACTTGTTGCCACGGAAATGCCAAAAATATTTTATTCAGAATTCCAAAACTACCAAAAGGCACCAGTACACCACCAGACCAATCTATGTGCCAAGTTTGGTGAAGAAATAGTGAACAGTTTTAGAGTTCAGCTCCGGAAAAGTGTACTACCACCAATTTCAGGCTAAGTCAAAACTTGTTGCCACGGAAACGCCAAAAATATTTTATTCAGAATTCCAAAACTACCAAAAGGCACCAGTACACCACCAGATCTATCTATGTGCCAAGTTTGGTGAAGAAATAGTGAACGGTTTTAGAGTTCTGCTCCGGAAAAGAGCACTACCACTAATTTCAGTCTAAGTCGAACTTGTTGCCATGGAAATGACAAAAATATTTTATTCAGAATTCCAAAACTACCAAAAGGCACCAGTACTCCACCAGATCTATCTATGTGGTCAAGTTTGGTGAAAAAAAATTGAACGGTTTTAGAGTTCTGCTTTGGAAAAGACAAATGTGCACGGAAGGACGGACGGACGCACGGACAGAGTCCATTTTAATACCCCCCGAAAAAAGTGTTGCGGGGGTTAACTAACAGGATTGGGCGGTCATTCTCCCTGACTTGGTTGACAAATGTTCATAGACACCTTAAATGAAATTGTCCTAAACCACATTTAAGTAAACTTAGGCTCAATATTATTTGTTACACTGCTATACTGAGTCTAACAAACCCTAGTAGAAGGTCGCATCAGCTAACCTTTGAGCGACCTATGACCGTCAAATCAAACGCGAGACGGCCGAACGGATTTAACCAATCAGACAACAGCTACTATTTTAGGGTTCGGCGGGACTTACAAAACGTTTTTTTATATTTTCTCTTCCCTGGTCGCTGACACTGATCGCAAGATGACATCCTGGAATATTGATAAAACGCTTTGTTCAGCGTGCTCCATGTGTAACACTCGGAAGTGATCGTGCGGAAAATAGCATTCGGAATCATTTGAGTTTTCGAGGTAAAAGTTCAAACGGTATGTGCGAATGTTAACTTTCGCGATTTGGTAAGCTGTGTTCTGATTGGTCAATTCAAAAGGTTAGCTGACACTTACTTAGACTGTCCTAAACCATACTCCCATAATGTCCAGTGAAGTCTCCAGCACTTCACGTATGTGTCGAAATCTTTACAAACATGGTTCAAAAGAAAAGAATGATGTGACGTAGACAATGTTGTGTACCTTCTTAAATGGGTACAATTTGACTTCAAGCACTCTTATAGCATCTTCAAGTGAAATTTCAGACATCCACTCCACCTCGGACGCAAGTTCGGGCAGATTAGGGTTCTCTGCCTTCATGGAGTCATTCAGAAGTAGGTCGCCATGAAGTGCCTTCTCGGACGGTGCTGTGTTGTTCAGTTTCATCAGCGGCATGAAGCCAATGTCCACCTCCATGTTCTCGTTCTCCTTGGGCCCATTCAGCCACTCCATGTCTGCAAACATACCAATCAAACTAACACATAGACTAAACTCCCAGAGACTTGGAACAATGGTGGGACAGAAGACTGAGGTAGAAGTTAAGACTGAGATCCATGGATATAAGAGGGTCCAAGGTAGGACTCAAATCTATGGTATGACACAGAGCTGGGTTACACCTCTGATTAATTATAGGACTCAGATCTATGGTAGAGCTTGGATCATGGGTAAGATTTGGATCTAAGTTAAATCTCAGATTGAAGAAGCAGATATGGGATAGGTATGGGGATGGTGCTAAGTTTGAGTTCACTTGGATATGAACCTTCAAAGTGTAAGGAAAAAAGAGTGAGTGAGTATGGTTTTAGCCGCTTTTAGCAACATTCCAGCAACATCACGGCGGGGGACATCAGAAATGGGCTTCACACATTGGTGTGGGAAATCGAACCTGGGTCTTCGGCATGACGAGCGAACGCTTAAACCACTAGGCTACCCCACTGCCCCAAGGAAAAAAGAAATGAGCATAAGTTTTGATGTTCGTACAGTTGCCCCTCACTCCTTATCTCCCCTACATGTGAACAGCATGGATAGTCAGATTTACCTAAGCTCACAGAAAAGAACCCCATTAATTTACACCTAAAACAAGGGCCAGGAACGACTACATATAACCTTAATGTCAGAGGATATTTGTATCTTGATGGCGAGTGGTCTTACTTACCAACATTAAGTTTCTTGTCCGTGGGGCAGTACAGGTTGAAGTAGAGGATATGTGAGCTGTCCCGTGCCATGATGACATTGCCCATGAACTGGGCCGGTGTATACCAGTAAGGATGATATGGAGGTTCGTTCAGCTGAAACTCGGCATGAATCCTGAAATGTAAGGACATCTATTGGTGTTTAGTCTGACAGCAGAAATATATATGAAACATCTACTGGAATAGTGATAACATGGTGTAAACGTCCACCTCATAAAAAGCATGTATTTGTTGTAACCTTCAGGATACAATAATATCACACACACTGCTTGTACCTGAGGGCTTGTGGGTTCTCTGCCTGTACAGGTGTCTCAGTGTTGCAATACTTGACAAATGATACAAAATAACTCACCAAACAAGTAAATAATGCTATGCACAGAGGAATAATAATACATAGAGGGATAATTCCATGTATGTGTACGAGAAACAACAATTCTCCTACACATGCTTCAGAATTGTCAAAGAGCAAAACAAAGATGTCTCTAACAAATCTGTTTTATGAGTTTAAAAAATTAAATATAATACAATCAAAAATGCCACAAGTTGACTGCAATATGCTCCTCTGTCTTCCTGCATGTTTCATCAAAGTCAGGAGCAAGGGCGGCCCTGTTGTCTAAGGTTCCGCAGTTCACTGTGCAGAGTTACCTCCCTTGGGTACGCCAGAAACCTATGATTGTGACTGGTAACCCTTGTTCACCCCAATTATATTTCTAGGCTGAACAGCACATAACCACACTCATTACAGACCTGCATCACTTCAAGATTTCCCGTTAAGTGGACTTGCAGTAATATTACTGGAATACTGTCAAAAGCTGCACCAAATCACCCTCACTCATCTTATTTAACAAAATACATGAGACCTGTATTTGAGGGTCCCTGGGACTCATACTCTTAATTTTCAGGGGTCATGGACCCCAGACACTTAAATAATACTATTAATACTGTTATTGTATTGTGTATCATGATCTTCACATTGTTACAGTAATTAATTTGCAAATGATACCATAACCCACTTAGTAGCAAACTCAATGATAAATTCCTGATACTTGATTAGAATTTTTACAAAAAGTATTTGGACTTTTTCTGCATCCCTGTGGATGTGCTAATAAATTTTGTTGCGTCCATTGTCCATTTTAATGTGTACAGGACGCAGGAATTTGTGTCCTGTAAATCCCTGAAAATATGTTTTATCATTTACATATGGGTGTGGATTTTGGAATAATATTATACCTGCAGCAGGAAATATTTTCTGCATTCATCTAAAACTGGGCAATGTAAAATCTGTATTTCAGGATTTTGAATAGCATTTTTACCCAAAAACATTTCCCCATAACAAAACAAGAATATAAAAGAAAACAGTATATCTTAAAGAGTCTCAGCGTGTGTGTTTACCTGAACTGTATATCAAAGTACTTGTCGTTCATGGCCCTGACAGTTGCCACGCTACCAGTCGGGGCGAAGCGTGATATGATAAATGGTCGTGAATGGAACATGGTGAGGAGTCTGTGAATCATCACATTAGAGTCCACCACCTTGGGTGGGTAGTACCGATTGCTGGACAGACTGGAACCGATTATGGAGCCAAACATTGATGACTGGGTGTTCACAATTTGGTACACGTCTCCCAGGTCTGCTGTCTCTATATTTGGTGGTAGGAACACAGAAAAATGGCGTGCACCAAAGTTCATCCATTCTATGGCAGGCTTACGCCAATTCTTCAAGCCAGCAAATGCGTCCAGCCCACCATACTGGAACATGAAAAGAGATATCTCAGGTATACTTCTGCACATAAGCTTCTCCATTATCACTGACTAACAACATTTGTAACTGTAACATTCAAAGAAATATGGAACAATTACGTTGATAACTATTACATATTCTGTCTGTTTAAGACACATAATTTTTACCAAGGTATGCTTACATGATTTCTGTCTGTGAAGAAAAACTATTGTACATTGTACGCAGTTCACTTTATTACGTAGGGGATGCGTGAACACTTGCACTGTCTCCAGTTAGGAATTTGAGTGAGTTTAGTTTTATGCTGCTGTTAGCAATATTCCAGCAATATCACGGTGGGGAACACCAGAAATGAGCTGCACACATTGTACCCATGTGGGGAATTGAACCCGGTCTTCAGGGCGTCAAGCGGACGCTTTAACCATTAGGCTACCCTAATTTGAATTTGAATATCTTCTCATCCTCGATTATCCATAATATGTCTGTCAGATAAAAATGACATCAGAAACACTGAGTATAGGAAGATACATTTTATCAATTCACTGTTGTTTTATCCAATCACTGACCTCTTTGTGCGTTTGTGCTGTTGTCATAGTTACCTGCTCATTAAAGTCTTTGGTCATTGTCTCCTGTCTAAGAGGATCAATGTAGGCCTTGATGGTGACAACTTCATCCTCCTCCTCGATAGGGACATCATACACCAAGCCTGTCACCTGTACAACAAATGCAAAGTTTTGGATTTACTGGCATAAGCTGTTAAGGACTCAATCTGCACCTGGATTACAAAGCTTGATATTCTCATATCCTCTGCCAACTGTATGTTCTGTGCAGTGCACAGATTCAACTCTATGACCACATGAGCTGCCCAGGATGTCTTGCAAAGAGTCTGAAAAAAAACCCTGATAAATGTTTTGCAAGTGTCAAAGAGTATATGTTCCTGAAGTAATCATAGTGAAAATGTTCCTTTTTACTATATCCTGGGTTAAAACCCTAATGGATCTGTTTTAGCGGGGATCTGTTTTAGCGGGGATCTGTTTTAGCGGGGATATGTTTTCAATGGCTAGGGATTTTGTTCCACAACATTTCTCGAAGTATTTCAAGTCTGGTATAAATTTCCAAGTGAAAATGTTTCATTACCCTAACCATAACCTTGAACTTGAGATATTAATGTAATTATCTGGACCTTGAATATATATACATGTTGATTTCTTTGCCTCACTGAAAATTTGTTCCACTGGAGAGTTGCCAAATTTACTGGGCAAGACATATTTACGCTGGTAATATTTGTTCAGGAAGGAACCAAATCAACAGTCAGAGAGGCCTCTAAGAAATGTAGACTTTCAACTTCAACTACAAAACCTGACATTTCATGAAAGTAGCAAATTCACAGAAGTGTGAGTAAAATGGTTTTGAATCTCCTGTGTGCTGGTTGTCACCACTTTGGTAGTACCGGTACACATCCCTGGACTCATTCCTGGCCTTCAATACACTGACTGACCGACTGAGTTTGGTTTTACGCCGCTTTTAAGCAATATTCCAGCAACATCACGGCGGGGGACACCAGAAATGGGCTCAACACATTGTACCCATGTGGGGATTCGAACCCGGTCTTCGGCTTGACGAGCCAAAGCTTTAACCACTAGGTTTAACCCACCGCCCCCCCTTCAATACAGCGAGGCGACTCGTTTGGATGACCTGTGCAGTTGGCGACTGAGCTGATACATGAGTAGACTATGCTTCTGTGTGATTGAATATGTGTCATACAAAACTGGCATGTTTCACTGCCATGATTGTTTTGAGTTTGTTTGAAAACTATCACATATCAAGTTAAAGGGTTCATATATTATTAATAGCACATTGGGAATTTTTTTTTTTTTTATCATTTGTATAGTGTTTTATTGATCAAATACATCATAATTGGGAAATATCTACCATTTGACACAAAAGTCAGTAGACAGGAAGGTCGCTCAATGTGGACCTGGTCAGCATTTACAGTTGACTGGTAAGAAGGTCCCCAAGACCATGGGTATACACTATTGGTCATACCGATCTAGTCTCCAGTTTATCTGGCGCTGGTGTTCATTATTATGCTTACGTTAAATTATTAAACATTTGTGACCTGTGAAGGTCCGGGTTAGAATTGATCTTGAGCAACCCATGCTTGTTGTAAGAGGTAACTACTGGTCAGATCACGTGGTCTGAGGATAACTGACACATGTCATTGTATCGCAATTGCATAGATCGATGCTCATGCTGTTGATCACTAGATTGTCTATCACTATAATCTTCATGATAAGGTAACACATAATTACATGAGGAAGCAGTCTTCATGTCTACCCAACCACATTCATTCAACTCCTATTACTTCAAGCCTATATTAAATTCCGTAGTCATGAAAGTTATACATTAAGGCCAGACTAAATTGTTCTTGTATTACCAACTTATCATAAATGTACTTACAAACAACAATTTGTATTGATTAACTTAATATTTCTTTCTTTAAACTAGTTTTCAAATTAACTTTATTTCAAAACTGTTTAAAGCAAATAAAGTAAGAATGACTTCACCTGTGAAAACCAACAATGTCCACTAGAGCGGGACAGTTCGTACCTGTGTTGTCAAGACTTATCTCTGTACAGGTGTGTTTCACTATCAAGATGGTATCACAGCCTGGGGCCCCTACAGATATCACTGACTGGCTCTACCCATTAACATGGGCCATATAAGACAGGCACTAGACTACACATATAAACTGTGCAGTGAATATTAACTACAATTAGGGGTGAAACGATATACTGAGGTATTACTGACTGACTGAGTATGGTTTTACGCCGCTTTTAGCAATATTCCAGCAACATCACGGCGGGGGACACCAGAAATGGGCTTAACACATTGTACCCATGTGGGGATTCGAACCCGGGTCTTCGGCGTGACGAGCCAACGCTTTAACCACTAGGCTACCCCACTGCCCCTACTGAGGAATTAGTAGAACTGCAGCATTTTGCCTTCAGTTCGTTATACCGTAATGCAATCCAAAATACAATTTGTATTCCTTATATGATATTAATGATACGGAAACACACTCGGTTAATAATCTCTATATATACCAAACCGAAGGCCTTATATCGCTATAAGTTCAATACCATGGTAAGAACGTACTGTTTCACCCCTAGCAACAGTCACCTGGCTTTAAGAATAGGACTGAAACCTTGTAATGTGCTGAGATAATTCAATATAACTAAATGTTTACTATCTTACACACACAATCCAGAAATACATTAAGAAGATGCATAATGTATAAAAAACACAGACAAATTCGCTGAGAGCCAGCTTTGATCTACACATCATCCTGTTTCAAATTTGTGTTTGTGCATCATGAAGTACACTTCAATATGTTTCAGGAACGGTTGCAAACATAATCGCTTTTTGATAAGTTGCCAAAAAGGTAAAAAGTTCACCTCAGTAATAAGCCCCAAAGCATAAACTTACACAAGCCAAATACTTGTTGCACTACATTATCACTTCATTATGTCATACTGAAGACAGTTTGGTTAAGAAAACCCCAGAAGTTAATTAACTGAAACATTGCCAACAGAGTGGCATGTCGTTAGGAAGTACAACCTGCACTCTCTACATGACTGGGACGGTGTGGTAGCCTAGTGGTTAAAGCGTTCCGCTCGTCACGTCGAAACCCAGGTTCGATTCCTCACATGGGTACAATGTGTTAGCCCATTTCTGGTGTCCCCCGCCATGATATTGCTGGAATATTGCTAAAAAGGGCGTAAAACCAAACTCACTCACTCACTCACTCTACATGACTACCGGTACATGGGCCCTTTCCCTGTACTGCACACACATTTCTTGTTTTACTCTGCTCTCGGCAATATGACAGAAGGCTGTAAATAATCTAATCTGTACCAGACAATCCAGTGATTGATATAATAAGCAACAATGTAACCTTCAGGTTAAGATGACACGCTATAAAAAAGTCACGCTGGGCCACCCAATCCATTAAGTTACCCCTTACAACCAGCACAGGGGCCCAATCCACAAAGCATTTGTAGAACATCATTCGTAAGTCTATCATAAACTACATAGTGGTGATAGCTTGTAACACTATGAACGCTTTGTGGATTATGACCCAGGTTCCTGGGATCTGTTCTAACACAGAATCTCCACAGAGGACTACACTGATGAATTCCGAACACTCACAGTACAGTATTATCAAGGCATCTTGTCTTGGCAGTCTATGAAGAACTTACTGAGCTTATAAACATATTAACTAACTTAACTAACATATCAAGCATGTGTTGTATAATGAATGCTGTCAAATTTGAAAAATAATTGGAAATTATGAAGCACCAAGGCTCTACTTCTCATAAGTTTTTCTTTATGGATCAGATTTTTCACCAGATCCCAAAATATCTATTTCAAAATTGCACCAGAGGCTGACATTTTTCTACTGATAGGATCTGATTTTATTCTCCATTAGAGTGAGTGAGTGAGTTTAGTTTAATGACGCACTCGGCAATATTCCAACTATATGGCGGCGGTCTGTAAATAATCAAGTCTGGACCAGACAATCCAGTGAGCATGAGCATCGATCTGCGTAATTGGGAACCGTTGACATGTGTCAACCAAGTCAGCGAGCCTGACCACCCGATCCTGTTAGTCGCCTCTTACAACAAGCATGGGTTACTGAAGGCACATTCTAACCCAGACCTTCACGGGTTCTCCATTAGAAGTTTTAGTGATGATACCTATGCCTGTAGTTTTGGAACTTTCAGAAATCATTTAAAAAGCACACTTGCAAAACGGAATCTTCAAATATTTTGTTTGTTGCAAAGAATAATCGAGCCTTGACCAGACAATCCATTGAACATCACTGCCACAAATCCATGCAATTTGGATAAGATGACATGCATCGACAAATCAAATGAGTCAGATCACCTGGTCCACTTAGTTGCCTCTCACATTTATTTCTGTCATACATTAGTACACAGTGTCCATGAGAATCTAATCACTAGCTGACACTTGCAAACACAAAAGAGTAATGAGCCAAACAGCATTTCCAATATGGCTGCCGCTGGTCAGTCATGATGGCTGCAATATGTCATGTTCAATTCTAGGAGACATTTTAAACTGCTTAATTTCAGAATAATAAAAGAAGTCTTTGAACTTAGCTGTGAGTAAATATTTATCGAAAAACTCAATAAAATACATGAAGATCAATGGCTAAGCGAGAACCATCCTCGATAATCTCGAGGGTATATGTTACGATCACTCTCCACTATAATATCGAGGGTATACATTACGATCACTCTCCATTATAATCTCCAGGGTATACGTTACAATCACTCTCCACTATAATCTCCTATAGGGCATCCACGTTGGCCTGATGATCACTTTTTATCCAATCAGGTGTCTACACTGGGAAGTTGAGCGAACCAATCACAACTCACTTTCGCTTCTTAAATTATCTAACCGTTTAAACAACACAACTGATGCAGAGGTACTCTGAAAGAGGTAGAAGGAGTTCTTACATATATTTTTTGAAACTTTCAGATCTGTCAATTTGTCTGTATTATTTCCTCAAAAATCTGAGTGGCACTGTGGACAAACCTTCGCGACTTGCGACCGCTATCTTTGTTGACACTGGCATGCTCGGATGTAACAGTGGCTTAGCTGATTGGCTACAGTGAGAATGCGGAGC